GTCTTAACCCTCTTGCTGTTTGGACGGGGAGGGTCACGACAGCATTTCATTCTTTCTGTTGGGTGGCCCTAATGCCTGCACTTACAAGACTCAGTTGGAGGAATCCATTGCACAAAGTAACTAGAATCCAAGAACTGGATGCATCTGCATAAAACAGCCTGTCCTATACCCATTTGGGTAGTTCTGCTGCTTCTTCACTCACCTGTACCGTCTGGTGGATGGGAATGTGCAGGGCTGAGGCAAGGAAGAGGTCTAGTGACAAAAAACCCCAGCAGCATGGGAGGGTGAGCAGAGAGCTGAAAAAAGAAGCCATGTTCTTTAATATTTCCATCACAGTGGGGGTTGGAGGCTGGCAGGGGACTGGGATGTCAAGTGTCTAGGCTGTGAAAACACAAAGGCTGGGCAAGAGCTGTGTCTTAAAGCCTTCATGGTGTAAGGTGCTGTGTGAAGAGACACCTCACCAAGTTGCTCATGACAGGGTGGTGGTGGCCTTGAAGTCAGGCTAATGCTGAGCATGTTACAATATAAGGCACTGCCCATACCATACTACAATTACATCAATAAAATCTTTTCCAGGCTGAGTCAGTGTTGCCTTAAATGTTATCTGGATCCTCCCAGACCATTATATGAACTACCAAACACAAGAGCTAAGGGACAGAACTGATTAAGATTCTTAATTATTAGAGAAGGTTAGGAATTATTTTGGACACACATGTTTTTGGATGGGAAAGATCCTTCATCAAATGGAAGCTAATGAGGGTTACTTCTGATGATGGTTTCTAACCTGAAAAATGTTTAGAATTAAAAGCTGAGAAGCTATTGATAATGTACCACCCCCAGCTTTACTCTATTTTCTTATATCACAACTATGGGTTCATGATGGTGTTGAAACTCTTCCTTTTCACTCTAAGTCACCATAGCAACATTGTAAAGAAATCTTATACCATGTTGGTAAACTGCTTTCCCTCCCAGATCTGCCAAGTGTCTGTGTGTTCATATAAAATGATTAGTTGTTTTTTTTATGTAAAGGTTTTCTCTGAAAACCTAAAAAGGGAGGCTTAGGTGGAGAACATCTTCATCTTAACCATTTACATAATTTGTAAAATGCAGGATTAAAATCCTATCTTGATATTATCCCAGACTGGGATTTGAGAGAGTTCCTCCAGACCTGTTATTTGTGCATTAGTCCTTTTGTGCCTCCAACGCTGAGGAAGGAATAGGTGTGTCTGGCTTTCTCCTTTTAAGTTGATGGGGGTTGTGCAACCTTTTTGTGGTGCCAGTTTCCTTATAGGCATTTGACATAATAGGAAAAATACAGCATGTTCCCAGAGCTGCATGCATCAACGCTGCAAACACAGTTGAGCCAGCCCTTACTGATCCTTGGAGCTGGATGGATCCCTGGGCAATTAAGAGTCATGGAAAGGAGCTGCTAAATGGCACAGGAAGCATTTCTGCCCCATGTGCCCCTATGAACAGCAGTAGTTCTTGTAGATGTCTGAAGCCACTTTCACCTTGCATCCAAATGCCAGGCTTACTGCACCATCTGCCCTTGGCTGTACTGTCCTTCTCTTATGCATGAGCTCATCCCCTCCCTCTGACAGCTCTGAGAAATCAGTGTTACTGTATTTCTAGAAGGCATGATGCTCTTTGCTCATTCATTCACGTTTCTTAAAAGTCCTGTCCTGAATCTTCTTGCAAGTTTGCTGTTTTCCTGACCCTTTCTGTATTTTTCTAGGTAATGAGCAGCTGTGCCCTAGACATGGGAGGTGCCTTCTAGTTCAATACTTATTTTAGGGAACTACTTCAAGCAGGTGTCTTAGTTTAATACCTCACCTGAGGGAGGAAAGCACTGGGAGAAAGAAGGGTGGAGACCCCTAGCCTTATTTCAACCTAATTATTAGTGTTATTTTCTATTGCTGGGCTCCACGTAGGCTTCTCTGCTAAACTAGGGACTAATTCTAAGACACTGGGTTTCACATTGAGGTTTAAGAAGCTGGGATCACGTTAGGTTTCTCCACTCTGGTGTTCTGAAGACAGAATACTGTGCTTTAGCAGAATTCACAAGGAGTAAAAAGCATCAGAGTCATTCAGGGAGTTCTCCTTTGGCAAGTGGCCCTGCTGTGCTTGCAGAGTCACACTTCTTTTCCCTTGCACAGTATGGGAAGTGTCAGCAGGATTATGGCTGGTGGGAACCAGCTTGGGAGACACGTGGTCCTCTTGATCAAAAAAAATCAATAAACAGAAGTCAGAAGATGGTAAATAGAGCTACAGGGCTGAAAGGTCTTATCTTTATGATCTGCTCTGCGTTGATGTTTCTGGAGTGATGGCAGCTGGGGATACCCTAGATATGTGGAACACTTGGTGTTATCAGGAAGATAAGGAATATGTCAGGAGTTGGTGAGTTGATGCAGAGACAGTCTTTCCTGTGCATCTGGCAGGACCAAGCCAGATCTGTGGGGATTGGGATGCTAGCATGGGAAATTTGCTCTTATTTCCATGAGGGTGAATTGTGCCATCTCCAGGAGAACAGAGTGGCTCCTGGGATGTGTTCATCACCCTCTGCTTTAATTGCTGTTTCCACAATGGACAGTCATTTGGCTTTGTTTAGGCTCAAGTGGGTGGTGAGAGTATCTCTCAGGCTTTCACCAGGCAAATTGCTGCTTCTTTAACAAAGGCCTTTTTTTTGTTCTTGAGCATGTTTTAAATTTCTTCTTGGAGATACATAAGGCATCTCCTTTCAGGTTTTCAAGTTTATTGTCTCAGCATTGGCCTGGCTCTGTGCCCTTGGTAACTCTGCTCATTGCTCTTCCAGTGATGTCAAGAAGAGTTTTTTATTGACTTCACTGGGAACTGGGTTAGATCAGCACTGAGAACTTCTGAGAGGCCCACGCAGAGAGCTCAGTCTAGGTAGCCTAGCAGGAGAGCCTTGCTTGCTCATCACATCCAGCTTTGTTCTCTGTCATGTTTAATTAACTGAGCCATACAATATTTTGCATTTTCTTCTTCTGAGGCAATGCAGAAGCCCTGCCTTCCTCTTGGACAGTGGGTCTCTGCATGCTAGTAATGAGGATCTACCAGCAACAACTTTATTGCCCTGGTGAAATGCCAGCTTGGCATAGCCCCATGAGTCATATTCAATGCTCTCATTCAGAAACTGAAGGGACGACTGCTGCTATTAATTTTGTGCTCTTGTTCACTGCCTTAGGAAAAAAAAACATTGTTGCAGAAAGATGGGAGCTTCTTTGAGGTAAGAATGACACAAAGATAAATGGGGAGTGTGACTGTCAGCCCAGAACACATCCCTCCCTTGCACATCCAAATGTTCCTTTTCTTGTTGATTCCCTCAGAAGTTTACTTATAGAGCAGAGCATGGAGAATAAAATGTTACCTCTAGGGCCGAGGTGTCTCTGTAAAATGCCATCTCTTTGCCCCTCAGCCCAAGCCTTTTCTCCCTGGAGCCTCCAGCCAGGGAGTTTCAGTCTCTCTGTAGCTCTTGGACCCCAAGCAGCTCCCACCACAGCCGGAGGTCCCTCTGAGAAGTCTGGTCTATAGGTTTCTTCTCATCATTTGCCTCATGGTTTCATCTCTGTAGGTAAGAAATTTCACAGCTGTCTTCATTTCAGTTGCTCTTGGCAACATTTCTAGATGCCAGTAAATTCTTCTGGAGTGCAACATACACCTCCATCAGCCATTTATGAATATCATGATGTACCAGGGCTTCAGCAAATGAATAAAAAACAGCTGGCCCCAAATCATACTGTATACTTCCTAAATTGGGAAGCCTTTCCTTGTAAAAAGGGGACGTGTGGATTCAACTCCAAGGACATACAGCAGTTCCAGCAATGCCATCTTTTCAAGAACAGACTCAGTAGGGATTTGGTTTATTGGGGGGTGTGTGTGTGTGTGTGTGTATGTTAAATAGAAGTAAACACCAATGTTAAATAGAAGGAAAAAGCTAGACTGTGGCTTTTTAATCAACAAGCTGATATGCAGAGGTGGGAAGTGATGAGTTCATGTTTAGTAGTAATATTTTCTGTAATCATAATGCTGTCATTCAGGGTAGGGATCACCTTGTCTACCTGCAGCTGCCCAAACAGTAGCTGCCCAGTCAGCTCATGTCCTTCGGCTGCCTTGACAGCCAGTGCAGAAAGAAAAGCTCAGCCAGAGGGTGGATTGTTGCCTCTTGAGACAGATGTGTGTGATAGGAACCCTCACAGAATGACTCACCCCATCAATCTCTTTCCATTGATTATTGAGGGAAACTGGGTGGTGATCTCAGACTATCTCCTTAGTTTCTAGCAGCAAGGCTGAGCCAGATTGGTCAGAGTTGAGATAACTCTGTTTCTAGCCTCATCTGTCTGCACAACTTAAAAATCCCAGTCCTTTCAAATCCTCACTAATGCATGCATTAAACTTTGATGCCAAATGGTTGCTGGCATTTTAGTGGAGTCATGCCAACCTGCACTCTGGGATGCAGTAGGACCTTGGGCATTTTCTCAGTGGAAAGGGGATCTGAATGTTCAATTTAGGCAGGCTTCTTTGCTCCAACATGTTGGGTCCTGCCTTTAGAGACAGGAACAATGTTCACTTGCAGAAAGCAGGAGTCCAGACTGCTGCTGCAAAGACAATGTGATTGCTGTGTCTGAAGTGCACGTTTCACATACTGCTGAGTCCTGAGGGAACCTGTCCTGTCCAAAGGTGATACCTGCATGTGTTTCCTTTCCAGAAAACTTCATGTCAAGCATCCTTCCATAAACGGCATGGTTCACCAGCACTCACCAGTGCTCAGCAGGCTGCTGCCCTGACCAAAAGACAGTGCTCAATACCTCCCCAGAACCACTTCTGTTGGGGCAGAGACCCTCATCCTCACAGGTGTGACAGCCTGCTTGTCTTCTCTGAATTGTTCACTGCCAAGTAAGGGGCTATGTCTCTGCACAAATAGATGTGGCAGTGCCATAAGGAAGGATGTCAGACACTTGTCCTCACCAGGAGAGAAGCCTGAAGATTTGGTCTACAAGGGAGTTAGAAAGAAACAGGAGTGTAGTCCTGAGACACCTGATAGAGCCCAAAACTTGCAGAGGTAGCACTTGTGGTTGATTATGGCAAAGAACCTACTGTCCATCGTAGTGCTTTGTTAAAACTCAAACGTTTTCTGTGGAAAAGAAATATGCTCTAACATAAATTTGAACAGAAATTAATCAAACTCTCTCAAAATCAAAATGGGATGTTTATTTTCCCCCTCTCATGATTAATGGCAATTTCTTATTTCTTCTTGACTTTTAGTTTTTAATAGTGTTCTGATCAGACATCACTGAGGTACTTTTTCTGAAAAAGTGATTTTGTTACTATATTGTACTTTTGAAATATGATTTCAATTGTACTAGAAATAGTCTCTTTTCTTCTGATTCATGATAAAACCAAAATCTTTCAAGCCTGGGTATACCATATGAGAGAAATTCCATTTCCCACTGAGCCAGCAATGTCATGACAGTACTTCTTAATGTAAAATCTCATGTAAACAGAAGCCATGTAAATCAGTTTTGCTCTGTTTAAATGTATGTAAGGCTGCCTGTAAGACTTTCCCTCATAAGTCTTATTTTTCTGCCTGGAAATTACAATTTGGAAATTACCTTAATTTGTCTGGATCCTCCAGAGTGCTGCCAATCTCATGCAAAGTCTTTGGACATACCTACAGCACCCAACCAGCAAGTCTGGTATTTCTGGAGAGTGTGAAATAGGCGGGTTTTTTTTGGTGCATGCTTTGGAAGTTGGGTGCATCCTGAGCATCTGGGCTTTATAGCTTCTGCAGAGAGTCATGTAATTCATATGCAATAGGGCCAACATTTCCAGGGAGCCCCAAGCTTCAGTTGGATGTCTGCAATTCACATTGAGTGCATGTACACTCCAGACAGAAACATGACCTGGTGTGCAAGGTGCTGAGGGAATGAGCAGGGTTACTTGTTTTTCCCTGGGGGAGAGCAGATATTCTCTGCTAAAGGAAGCAAGGTGGCTTACTGGTTTACCCAGGAAACTGGGTAAATCTGCTTCCTTTTCTCCTCTTTTCCTTTGCTTCATTGTGTCAAGCTCATTAACAGTTTTCTAACAGGGTGGGCATCATTGGAGCTCATTGTAGTGAGTTAAAATCTTCTATTTAATATGCCTGATGGGATGAGGGAGGAGGAGGAAGAAGAACAAGAGCAAGCAAGAACAAGGAGGTGGTTTCTTCATCCAGACAAATGACCTTGGTTTGCCACCTCTGAGAAGCCCCCAAAACAGGCTTAGCAGTCAGGGCACTGTGCTCTCATGAGCAGTGGAGAAGGTGGCTGTAATCAGAGCACCTAGCAGAGGTGCCATCTCTGTTGAGTGGCATGGTTTCACATTGCTAATAAATCACTTTGAAATTGCAGTTTAAGAAGCCTTGCTCGTGTGTCAGAGGTGGGGGGTTTAGCATGCAAGGGCCTCGGCTGGGTGACTGGAGACCTGGGCTGTAATCCCTGGTTCTGTCACTAACTGTTTTTCCTTCATCTTAATGCCTTCATTGCACCATTTCTGAGAAGATGCTTCTACTGACTTATTTTGGGAAGGGCTTTGACACCTGCAGGTGAACACAATTATTGATTTTAATGTCAAGCTTCTTTTTCTAAAAGGTTAGCAAAGCAACCAGGAGACATGACTTACTACAGGTGCTGAAATGTTTCTTTTAAAGGGAGTTACTCTGGTATCTGTCATATATTATGCTTACTTCTTTTTTTATTTCTATCATCATTTTGTTCTCAGATATAGCTAGTCTAATTCATGACTCATTGTGAAAGAAGTATAGCAAAGAAAAATACTGTTATTTAAATATCTACCAAGTCATAGATATAATTTTATATAAATTTATAATTGATTTTATATGATTTAGAAAGCAGATCCTAGATGTTCAAACTTAAAATACACAGTTGGGATGTCAGTATCTTGAAGCAAAATGAATTAAGGATAAGAAATGGTGTAATTTTACCTACAAGACTGTCTGTACATCTGATCATTAGCATTAGGAGGAAAATTTAGGACGAAATCCTGACTTTATCATAGCCAATAAGAAGAAATGAAAAAAATAATGGATGAATAAACAGCAGAAAAAAAAACAGAGAGGTAATATTTTCATCATTATTAAGAGCAGAAATTTGACACATTAGTGATGGTTTGGAAGCTTTTTCAGCAAAATGTATCCACGCTGGAGAAAAGGGTGAAATTCTGCAGCACAATTATGATGAGAAATTTACTTTTTCTGGAGTAACCAATAGTCCAGGGGCTAGATCACTTACGTGGGATGGCCTTGCACTGCCTTATTGAGACAGACACTTTAACTGCAAATTCACAGCTATTATTTAGTCTCTTTACTTAGACTGGCACGTGTTATATTAATGCCTAAGTAGCATTGTGGGCTAGGCTTGTTTTCCATTTGTCAGGTGAGTCCTTTTACATGTGGATGATGCTGTTGTGGCCTGCAGTTTGCCTCTCAAACTTTTCATTAGACACCTGCCCTAGTACAGAGCAAAAATATTTAGAAATTGCCTCTTAGAAATTTTGTGGGATGGAAAACACATATTGTCTCCCGAAAAAGAGAAGATATAGAAAAGATATATTTAGAACTGTGTGTGACTGCTGTATCTTCCTCATATATGCAATGCAGAATAGTACACTCTTTATTAAACATGAACATTTCTAGGTTATCCATTCATTTTTGGGCAGGCAGGTTGGTGCTCATATGGTGGCGAGACCTTGAGATGGTGCTTTAGTTGCAAGTTTCCTGAGAGCTTGCTTGGGCCAAAGCATGTACAACTGTCTTTCCTGGCTGCATGGACTGCTCCTGGATGGTGCAAACCTGGAACATGGAAGAGGCTCTTGTGGTATCATTGCCCTACAGCAGCATGACTTCCCTTCTGAATGATGCAGCAAGATGTTGGCTAATACCTGGAGCTGAGAGAGGCTACAGCACAGTTTCCTTCTCATGGTCTTTCAGTTCCTGCATTAGGATTCCTCTCTATGCTAAAGGATGGCAACAGCTTTGTCTCTCTAGCTGTGACCCTCTGGTCTGTGGAATGACATCCCAGTACACTAGTCCTTGCAAAAGCACCTTGCTTTGTCACGTCCAAGCAAACAGGCATTGTATGGAGTCTTACAAAGAGAATGAGAGAAAAGTGATGTCCTTTGCCACATCAGTCCTGCAGGGCAGTGCAGTCTGTGGTATTTGCTAATAACTGGGATTTGTGAACAGTCCCTGCAGTGCCCGGGGCAGAGATTTCACAGAGTTGCACACTTGGCCTGTGGTGGGCCCAGATGACAGGAGGAGGCTGAAGGGTGGAGCACACACTCACGTAGGCACCAGAGCTCCTGGATGTGAAGGAGCTTTTTGTGCACCATCACATACCTGCAAGGAGGAAGCACTGAGCAGATGCTGGTGCTGCTCAAAAGCAGTCAATCAGGTGCCCAGACTGGGACATGATTTTCAACATGCTATTTTTGCCCTCTCCAGATTTAGGGTAGATTCCTCACAGTCTCCTTTAGTGGAGCAGCTCCATGGGGACACTTTCTCACCATAAAATAGTGAGCAACAAGGGACTGCTTTTGGCACACCATTTTCTGTGGACAAAAGGCAGCTCTGGACCAGGCATGGTCCAGTTACTTCTCTCTGCAACTTGAACATGCTGTCTGGCTCACTCTGCAGGAATTACCTGGGAAAAACCTGATGGTCCTAGTGAGTACTCATTGTGATCATCAGCCAAGGCTTCAGCCATGGCTTTGGGACTAAGTTTTCTGTGGTACTCTAAACTTTAACTTTCCAGAAAGGGTTGAGAAATACCTTGAAGTTCAGATCCTTTAGTCAGCAGAGCCTTTTCCAGGGCTGCCTTCTCAGCACTAGGTGTCTACTTCTTCTGAGGTAATGGATGGCTAATACAGACAACCTATGCTTGTTTAAGCATGCAAGCAAGGCCTGGCAGCCTTTCACACATGACAGTGAGTCACCCTTCCAGCAAGAGAGAGTGAGTCAGAAAGGGCAGTTGACAAGCTTTATTTATCAGTCCCCTGTTATTTGGCCCAGGAGAATTTTACCCTGAAAAACCCACCCTTGCTAATGACAGGCAGAGCTCAGACTTGTATCAGACTACTTTTTTTTTTTCCCCATGGGCTTTGCATGCAGTTTCATATCAGGAAACCGTGGCAGGTTGGCCATTTCCATGAATTCTTATTTTTAAAGGGGTTCTGAATGTGCCAGCTATATTGAAATAACTCGCCCGAGTTGCCATCAAGAGCACAAATTCAAATTCCATCTCAGTGATGAAAAGAGCCTGGGGAGCTCCATGCAACAGCATTTACAGAGTCCCCATTTACTTTCTTCTCTTAGGGCTGCTGTGCTCAGAGCCTTAATTGAATGCTAACATTGCCCTAGTGTCTTGACTGGCTTTTGATTATGGTTTTGCCACTCATAGACTCCATCTAGGGTGTGTCAGGCTTCCCAGAGTGTGTGTCTATTTTCAGAAGTCAGATTGCTCTGTTGGAGAAATTCGCACCAAGCAGAAAGTTGGCAGGAAACATTGCAACTCAGAAATGGAAAAAGGGACAGAGAACAAAACATCTGCCTGATGGTTAATTAAGGAAACTCTACACCTGGGAGTTTCAGGCATTGCAACTGGAAGAGAGATGGTAGTGTAGGAAGAGGAGCCATTGAGATGGGTGATGAACATAATGCATAGTTGGGTGTCTTGAGGTATGGAAAGAAGCAAAGTGAACTCAAGCCCATTCTCTTGTGTTGCAGGTGGACTTGGAGCAATAGTTTATGAAGGCAGCAACCACGTAGTAGCAGGGCTACAGGGCTCAGCAAGTTCTCTTATGAGCCAGTATGGCAGGACCTAGAGGTCATGCAGGTTCCTTGTCTCTGGTCCCTGCTGTTCAGTCCTGTTCTTCTTGTCATGTGAGGGGCCAGTGTCTGATGTACAGGGAAAAGCAGCTCATTCTCAGCCTGCTCATTCTTCTGTGTAAGAGAGACTGGCCAAAAGCAGCATTTAATCAGCAAATAACAGGTTTTCCTCCATTTTTACTTAGACACATACAGTCAGTTCAGTAGTGTTAAGCCCTAGTGAGACCAGGGGACTAACACTCCTAAACACATTCAGGAATGTGGCTCTTTGCTGCTACTGGTCAAGTGCAGACTGACTGGGGCTGTAGTGGTGAAAGACACCATCATGCTTCCAGATCTTGCCAGTGCCACCTCTCTGCCTGGAGAAGCAGGGGAATATTATTTAGTCCATCTTCTTTCCCCACTCAGATAGACAAAACACTCCATGAATCCTTGACAGAGCTCTAAAGAAGTTTCTTGTAGCTCCTGTTTTTTCTGTGGCTCGTCTTCCTTGCCCTCTCAAAGCTGAAGCTGCTCCTACCAACCAACCATCCTTCCAGCCAAGGAGAACCAATAGCTCCTCTGCACAGACAGCTGGCATCATCACCTCACTTGCTCCCTGCCTGGGGACAGCGTGGTGCTTCTGATGCCTTTTTACCTGCCGGTGTGCTGGGGAAAAGAGAGCAGCAGTCAAACTGGAAATCGGACCAGGCAGTGATTTGCAGTAGGAAAAGAGGTTGTCAGTCTGGATTTCCTTAAGCAATCCTTCCCAATGGTGGTGGTATGTGTTCCTGTTCCTGCTCCAGCTGGGACCAAGTCCTTCATCTTGTAAACAAACTGCATAGGAACCACCATGTACCACTTGCAGCTCCTGTGGCTCACCCTGAATTGTAAATATTTGCAGTGAGAATTTTACAGCTTGCAACAGAGAAACCAAACTGCAATTCACAGAATGTGATGTTCTTACCCTAGTTCTTCCTCCATGTGAGAGAGAGCCCTGAAAGATTCACAAAACAGGCTGTAAGTGTACTGTCACCTGTTACAGCCTTTCTGTTTGCAAGAGACACTGATAATATAAACATAGTGTATTTCTTCATGTGATCTTTTTCATTTACAGAAGAATAAAGAACCTTTTTTCCCCCCTTCCTTGAATACAGTAGAAATAAACACAAACAAGTAGTTTCTGGACATGCATTCCCAGGTCTGCTGGTCCTAACAAGATCTGACCTCAAAAGGGTCCTTCTCTGTGTGGCTCCTTGCTTTTCTCTCTCCTGT